CGAGGACGCCTACGGGCGGTCCCGTTCCAGGAAGAAGTCTGGAAGAAGCAACAAATCCGAGAATTCCGGCGAAAGACAAGAGGCCGAGAAGGACTCGAAGTCGAAGGGCGAACTGAAGGCCAAAGAGGGCGAGGACGAGGAGCCCGAAGGCGGCTACTTCAGCCTCGAGAAGGAGGAGAAGGCGGCGGGCGAGATCAAGTTCATCTACGAGGCCGTCCCGACCAACTCGTGCGAGGAGTACCTGGAGAACGACCAGTGCGTGGAGGCCATCTACGTGTGCCAGGTGTTCCGGAAGGACTCCGACACGGAAGGAGACGATGACCACGTCTACGAGAACTACCAGGTGATCAAGATGACCAAGGAGGGCAAGCTCATCACGGACGACGACGAGAACTACGCCAACTACCAGATCATCCGGAGGGTCAAGGAGGCCGAGCTCCTGGGTCTGCCTGACGCGGGCGACGGCGGAGGCGAGGAGGACGACCTGTATGAGAGCATCAACTTCCTCAGCCAGAATCCTCTCGCTCTCGTCCAGACGACAGCCACGGAGGCCCGGATGAAGCGGCGCCCTCGCCTCGGCTCCAGCGATTCCATCCCTTTCATCGACGACAGCGACAACTCGGGGGACGAGACGGTGACGAGGAACCCCGTGGCGAGGGGTGTGACCCCCGGGGGGAGTGTCACGGTCATCACCATCAAGGACGACGACAAGACGGAAATCACCCAGAAAGTCGCCGGCCCTCTGCGAACTAAGACATCGCCGCTTGGAGCGCAAGACGGGCCCGACGCGGCTGAGGCAGAAGGAAAGGGCGTTCATGGGGAGAAGCTGGCTGAGGCAAGCGACCGTGGGCGCCAGACGCAGTCAGAAGCCCGGTCAAAGCAGAAGAGGTCTTCAGAGCCCTCGGCTTCTGGCGCCACGACTGCCTCGTCGGCAGGTCGCGGCTGCCACACGGCGCCCTCCAGGCACTCGTACCCCGCAGCCTCCTCGCTCATCCCCAAACTCGCGGACAAAGTCGGTCCGAACGCGACGCGGTTGGCTCCTGCTTCGGAGGAAGCGGGCGGCTCAGTGGCGGGCGCGAAGGACGGCAGGCAGAAGAAGGTGAAGAAGAGCATGAGCCACAGCGACGTCCAGTCCCACTTCAAGGGCAAGAGCGGACTCACTCTCTCCGAGTCCTTCTCCGACGATGACATCCAGCACAACGAGGACTTCGAGTCCTTTTCCGAGACCGACTCGGAGCTGGACAACTTGGACTACGACATGTTCACGCCCAAGAGCAGCAGGAGCGGCCAGGGCAGCCGTCCCCCCCTGAGGCGCGCCCGGAGGCTTCCTCGCGGGAGGTCCCTGTCGGCGTCCCACGCCAGCCCGCTTATGACGTCGACGCCCTTCGGAACGTGTCGGAATTCCAGCGGGTCCTCGGCCGTGGAGTCGACCGTCGTCCTCGGGGAGGAGCTGCAGTCCCCCAAGACCTTCCAGGCCCTCCTGCAGGACCGGTGCCTCAACCCGCCCGAGACGGACGCCGAGTCGCAGGCGGGCGACAGCAAAACGGACAAGGGCGCGCCCTTGCTAATTCGCGAGACGGGCGACGTGAGTGTGCGGGGCGCCCGCGACGTGGTGATGAGCTACCACAGCGTCGGGGCGGAGGCCGGCGACCGGGTCATCGTCGACGACACCTTGTCCTTCACGTGGTCCGACGCCGAGAGTGAGTTCGAGTTCATCGACTTCAAGAAGGCAGAGCCGCCCAAGACGTGCGTGGTGTACCAGGGCGTCACGCTCACCTCCAGCGTGACGACCACCACCACCACCACCACCAGCAGCATCGACAGGAAGGGCAGCGCCGTCAAGAGGTCCCACAGCATGAAAGGTAAGCCCACGGACGCCGCCCTGGACGCCAGGTAGGACCAGCGGCCGCGCTCGTCGGACCGCTGCGGCATGTAATTAGGGGTCGAAGGAGAAAGCGGCGCCGGCGTTTATCTCGAGCAAGCCAGGGCTGTGCAATCCAGGTGTGACGTCACGCACCTGGTGCCATTGCGTGATTAAATGAATTTGGGAAAACTTGCCAAATGTCTAAACCGCCTGATAGCCCAAAGGCGCGAGGCGGAGTGGGGGGAGGGTCATTATAATTACAAGTAGGGGGCAGGTCGTAATTAAACCCCTCTGTGCTTTTCGCCGCCCTCCTCCGCGGGGAATCGGGCCTGGCGTGCGTAGAAACAACCTCGTGATTAATTACACCGAAGGAACACATGTTAATGGTACCTGGTTAATTTGTCGGCGTCGCGCGGGGACGAGGATATCTTGAGGTGATTTGTCTATCACTTCGTGTCGCTGATACTCCGTTCCTCGCAGCATGTCAGTTTTTGGTAACGCTGGTCCCCTCGGGAGCCCTTTGTATCAGGATTTGCGATCAAGAGAGGGCGCATGAGCAGCCGGGCGTGGTCGGGAGGCCCAACTGGCCCGAGTGAAGGAGCTTGCCGCCTTTCCCCGCCCCCCCCTCCCCCGAGC